TACATTGTTTAAGGATTATTTTCAATTAATACATGTTGATTTCTTTTTATGATTATCCATGAATACCTAATTAAGGCTGATTACTGTGTAGTGCTAAGATTTATTGGGATATGTTTATGACCTTGTCCTTGGGGTTGTGACAACATTTTTCATCTTGCATGCACTTTTATTTAGCAAAATCAAAACTTGCATGGTGACATTTCAAGTTCTAACACTTTTGAAAGGCAAGACCGAGACAATTAAGCAAGATTCATGTTTTCCGCTTTAAACCAACAACACTTTTGAATCACACAAGTTTTTCAAGAAGTTCAAGGTACTAACACATAAAAATACTAACTTTCAAAGCAAAAATTGAAATTGCATATGAATTTTCATCAAAGATTTGTGACATGCAAAGGGAGAAAACAACATGCAAACACTTTGGCTTCATCACCAAGAGAAATAACTTCACTTTGGGGCAGAATCAAGGTTAAAAAGAAAAATTCAGACAAAGAAGTTTAAATTACTATAGAATTTAGAGTAGACAAACTTATGAAGAGAAATGACATACAATAGTTGGGAAAGTAGCTAAATAACTCCTTTGGTTTTGCTAAAAGAAAAATTTATTACAATTAGATATAGTCATCAATATATTTCAAATTAGTATCAATAATATAAAACATTTGAATCATTGACCATGTAGCTAAACTAATATTCACAATATTATAAAACATAATGCTTAAAGAAATAGTCACAATCCGAGACATGCAAAAGGGAAAAATCAAGATTACATGCACCAATAAGCCAAGAACACTAGAGCTCTTAAAGATTAAGCTTTAGATTCACACACACACACAGCCAAAAGAAAGAATTCAAACAAACAAGTGAAAACTCCCCGTTGCCTTGGATAATTAATGTGAAGATGGAAGAAAATTAAGCTGGAATATGGTTGATCTCCAACGTTTGATTTTAGGGAAGGAAGCTCTTGATTTCCTTGAGAGAAAATGAGAGAAACTGGTTTTACTTTTGGATAAGGGGTTCTTGGTTTTTTTGAGAGCAAATGAGAGAAGAATTGGTTTTCTCTCTAAATGAAATGCTGAAATGCCAAGTGCTAAGTGCTAAAGTGTGTACAAGATTTCCCTTTTGTTTACAAATTGAAATTGGAAGGTTTACAAGTCATGGTTTTGGCTATCCAAATTTTAAGAAATTGCAAAAAAATCCAAAAGTGAAATTTAGGTGCAGTTCATGCATGAAAAATGATTGGATGATGTGGAAATTAAGATGACTACGTAGACATTTGGATGAGACAATTGACATAGTGCAAACTTTCAAAGATTTTTGCTGATTTTGGTCATTATGGTGTCGACAAAATTGAAGACAATGAAAGAATCTTCTAATCAATCATCGTTTCAAGGGAGGTGACATTCAATAATTACCTTGCATGAATTTTGAATGGATAAGGCCAGATTTAGTGAAATGATTAAGGTGGCTGCAATGATTAGAGAATCTCATGTTTTCCTAGGATCACTAATCATGTTTTTCACTAAAATTCAGCAAAATAAAATTAAGCTTTGGATAAAATGTTACAAGTGTGCTTTTGGGCAGTCATAATAAAAAATGATCAAGCATTTTGGAAAGTCTCAAGGTTGTCTAAATGACTGGTTTTTCATAAAAATAGGCTATGGTCTCCTTTGGCCTATCTCTCTTCCCTCAAAATTTGGATAACTAGGCAACTTAGTTGATTTTGAAGCGAAATGAATAACATGTAATGATTTTAAATTTCAAATAAGCAAAAAGTTGTAAAATCAAATCAAGCTCAAAGAATAATTAATAAGTTTTATTTTGTAGTAGTTTTTTTTTTTATACATTTTGGCAATTATTTGGGGTCCTTTTTTAACTAGTTTATACTTCGAAGTCCTTTTAATTTGATACAATTTACAATTCATACTAATTAAAGTCTAGCTACTTAAATGTAGTAGTTATTTACCTTTGTTTATGTGATTATATGAAGGCATTTGATCATCTTTTCTTGTGTCAAATATTAAGGGCAAGGCATAATGGAATGAAGAGTGAAAAGAAGAGAAACAAAGTCCCCAAAACAAGCAAGTCTTGCCTGAGTAAGATGTGGGTAGCCTGAGCAAGAACGTCAAGCTACAGAGTCTACATTCTACCATATCCTCGCTTAAGCGAGAATCTCACCTAAGCGAGAAGTGGTTCGTTCAAGCGAGAATTCATTAATTACCCTAAATTAGAAGAGTCCAAGAACAGGAGAGTATCGATTGTCGTTGACCTAACTTGGTTTTTTGGAGTACAGAGCAAGAGAAGGACGTGGTAAGGTGGCTACACTATTAGAGAGCTAATTTTTACCCATTTTCCATGTATTTTCTTGTTGTTATGTATGCCATGAGTGGCTAGAACTTTATAGGGGATTAGATGTAATCTTAACTTTTTGAGTATTTTGGTTCATTAATGTAGTTAGTTCATTTTTCATGAGTTGGGTGTATTTATCTGGATATTAATGTTTGCTTCTACCTTATGGAGAATGATTCATGATTTGGGAGCTTGGGGTGAGTTGAGAAACTACCTTAGGACCCAGTTGGGATAAATTCACACAATGGGTTAAAATTCTAAGAATAGATTTTAATCTATTGTATGCTTAATAACTCTTGATATTAATGTTAGATTATTTGTTGTTTAGGTAAGGAATTGTCACTCAATAAATATATCTTAGAATCTCGAGTAAGAGGAATCCAATGAGTAAACATAATGAGAGTGCATTGTAAAACCTTGGTATTTATTCAAACTATATTATGACTAAAATACGAATTTGGTGATAGATGAAATTCAATCCCTGCTTTTTATTATTTCAGTAAATTTGTATTTTATCATCTTATCTTAATGTCCATAAATCCATCAATCAAAACCAAACAATTAGTTGTAAATTTATGAATAGTTAGAATTCGTTAATTTTAATTTGGATTTTGGAAATTGCTTAAATATCAACACTCCATGTGGACACGACAACTTCTTATACTATATCAAAAATTTAGTACACTTGCCAAAAATCCTTAATAATAATCAAGAGATTTATCAAGAAATCTCTGCACCTAGCTACTTATTCCAACACTAACAAGTTGGAATTTCAAAAAATAAATAAGCATCTAAAACACAACAGTTATCAAACTAAGTTAGTAAAATGAAGGGTGTTACATAGTGAATGGTTGAGATAAGAATCCAAGAATACTAAAAGCTTTATTAGAATGTAATTGCAAGTTTAATAAGTGTTGTATGCATGTGAAATTACTAGGGATGTAACTGTCATTTCTAATTATGTTGGTGTGTTATTTATTTATGTGTTTTGGAATTAATGTCTTGATCATGTTTAGTGGTGAGAAGAAAAGTTCATCCTTACTAATATTTCAAGAAAGCAGGATAACCACTCCTTAGAGACCAGTTAGACTATCTAAGTGGCTAGTAAGTAGTAGATTAAACTATGTATTTAGAGAATGACAACATATTTGTCATTGTAAATTTGTTGTAGATTGTAGTAGTGAATCAGGAGACTTCTTTACATTAAAAATGACGATAAGGTATAATGTTCCTTTTGATTACCCTATAAATAATAGGATTCACTATATTCTTAGTTTATATATAAAGGGTCAGTTAGAACCCCAGTAGTTGCAAATTTTGTATACATCTTCCATGATCATGACTACTTTGAAAGACAAACTCGATTTACCCTAAAGCAGGAGACTGGCACTGAGGTAATAGTTGATACCAGAGATCTTGGTGATGATGAGGATCTGACACTAGAAAAGCTAGCTGAGATAGAGGGCTAGTTTGGGGATGACAACTAAGATTGTGTCATCAGTATTTTGGTGTGAAAACGAACTGCTTATTAGAACTTAGGTTGTTTTGATTCTTTTGTAAATCATGTAAATGAGTCCTAATGTATTTTTGAAATCATAGTCTATAATTATCAAACTCTTGTAACTAAATGAAAGCTGATATATGTATATTTTGTACAGTCCTCCTGGTGTAAATTTATTTTGTAAATTAAATGGATTGATCGACATCTATCTTTTATTCTTTCGAATAATTATACATTTTATAAACTAAGTAATAAGAAAAGTGAAATTTTTAAATTTTTGTCTATTTCTTGCATTATGAATATAAACAAAATGACTTTATTTCTTTCTTTAATATAAATTATTTCACCAATTATATGAATAAAATAAGGGCATTACGCAAGAGGACAGTTGGGCTGATCTTATCTATTCTCGTCTAAGCAAGACACATCTCGCCTGAGCGAGAATGTCTTAGCAAGATAGTTGAGCAAGATTTTCTACAGTTTTTAAAATTTAAATCCCTTCTATTTTAAAAACAAAATGCAATGAAGATGAGGGTGTTACACTAGAACTTTTTACTTTCTCTATGCTACATATCATTGTCAATCAACACCCTTTGAGGGGTTTCTAGGTCAACCTTGATTATTTCCAGAGAAGGGATGACTTCCAACAATATCTCGTCCTTTGAACAAACATTTGTTGTATGTTCATCCATCTTAACCTTTACCTTTGTGAAATTTCTTTCTTTTAACATTTTTCTCTTTTATTTTAAACCATCGACAACTATGTATATATCTCAGTTAAGAATCTAAGAAACAATGTTATATTTTTAAGGAAGAAATACGTGACCAATAAAAAATCTCTTGATGATATTCGCTCATGATGCAACTAATAGTGCATTTTTAATTAACACAATTTTTTTTCTAATAGATTAATTTCATTTTAACTTTTCATCTAAAAATGGTATAATCATTTACCCCTCTAAAATAATTTAAACCAACACATATGAAGGGTGCTAAAATCATGTATTCAAATATTAACTGAAAATTATTAAAATCTATTTTAGTTAATTAGTAACAAAAAAGTATTTTAAAAGTGTTTCGAAAGAACATATGTATTATTGACATTTCTGGACAAATATATATGATCATAAATTGATTGAAGAGGTGAGCACAGAATAACTCGGTATCTCAAACAGCTAACAGACTAATGTAGTGAGACAACCATCTACAAGTCGATGATATTCCGTTGTCATGTTCTCAACAAACACACTTTGAAACTCAATCTCAAACTTGTTAAACTATACCCAACAATTACACTCTTCCAAAACATTAACTTTTCTTCACTCTCTTCCTCTTCCAACACTTACCACCATCCAAACCTTCTCCAACTACGCACCCTTTCCCAAATCAAGCAAGTTCACGCTTTTGGCATCCTCCGTGGCTTTCTCCCTCACAGTGTTTCTCTCTGTGCCTCTCTCATTCTTCAATATGCCTCCTTTGGACACCCTTCAACTTCCCTTCTTCTCTTCCAACAAAGTGTTCCATATTCCCGCCGTGCCTTCTTGTGGAACACCCTTATCCGTGCTAACTCCATTGCAGGTGTTTGTGATGGGTTTAGTACCTATAACACCATGGTTCGTGCTGGTGTTAGGCCTGATGATCACACATACCCTTTTGTCTTAAAGGGGTGTTCTGATTTTGTGGAGGTTAATAAGGGTAGGGAGGTTCATGGGGTTGTGTTCAAGCATGGTTTCGATGGGGATGTCTTTGTTGGGAATACCCTTTTGGCCTTTTATGGTAATTGTGGGTTTTTTGGTGATGCCATAAAGGTGTTTGATGAAATGCGTGAGAGGGATAAGGTGTCCTGGAATACTGTTATCGGGATGTGTTCTCTTCATGGGTTTTATGAGAAGGCACTTGCATTTTTTGGGGGGATGGTAGCGGCTGTGCCTGTGATTGAACCAGATTTGGTTACTGCTATTAGTGTGTTGCCTGTATGTGCAGAAACTGAGGATGAGGTAATGGCGAGAGTAGTGCACTGTTATGTTTTGAAGGTTGGTTTGTTGGGCCTTGTGAAGGTTGGAAATGCTTTGGTTGATGTTTATGGAAAATGTGGGAGTGAGAAGGCTTCCAAAAAGGTTTTTGATGAAATTGATGAGAAAAATGAGGTTTCCTGGAATGCTATTATTACTAGCTTTTCATTTAGAGGGCAGTATTTGGATGCTTTGGATGTATTTAGGTTGATGATTGATTCAGGAATGAGACCAAACACTGTCACCGTGTCCAGTATGCTACCTGTATTAGGAGAATTGGGACTTTTTAAATTGGGAATGGAAGTTCATGGGTTTAGTTTAAGGATGAGTATTGAGTCTGATGTTTTTATTGCTAACTCATTGATCGATATGTATGCAAAATCAGGATCTTCAAGTATAGCATCCGCTATATTCAACAAAATGGGAGACAGAAACATTGTATCTTGGAATGCAATGGTTGCGAATTGCATGCAGAACAGACTTGAGTTTGCAGGTGTAGAATTAGTGAGGCAAATGCAAGCTCATGGAGAAACCCCCAACAATGTAACCTTCACAAATGTTCTTCCAGCTTGTGCAAGATTAGGTTTCCTGAATGTTGGAAAGGAAATTCATGGCAGGATAGTTCGGGTTGGGTGTGCCTTTGACTTGTTTGTCTCTAATGCTCTGACAGACATGTATTCAAAATGTGGATGCTTAAACCTTGCTCAAAATGTCTTTAATATTTCTGTTAGGGATGCAGTTTCCTACAATACACTAATTATAGGCTATTCTCAAACAAGTAACTGCTCAGAATCTCTACATTTGTTTTCAGATATGAGACTCTCTGGCCTGAGGCCTGATATTGTTTCATTCATGGGTGTTATATCAGCTTGTGCAAATCTGGCTTCCATAAAGCAAGGCAAAGAGATCCATGGACTACTGGTAAGAAGGCATTTTCACACTCATCTTTTTGCAGCAAACTCACTCTTGGATTTATACACCAAGTGTGGTCGAATAGATCTTGCTACTAAGGTCTTTCACCGTATCCATGACAAGGATGTGGCCTCTTGGAATACCATGATTTTGGGCTATGGTATGCTGGGTGAGTTGGAAACTGCAATCAACCTTTTTGAAGCAATGAAGGAAGATGGTGTGGAATATGATTCAGTGTCATTTATTGCAGTTTTGTCTGCTTGTAGTCATGGAGGACTAATTGAGACAGGGAAGAAATACTTTCAGATGATGCACAATCTAAACATTGAACCAACACATATGCATTATGCTTGCATGGTTGATCTTCTTGGAAGGGCTGGTCTAATGGAAGAAGCTGCAGAGCTTATTACAGGCCTCTCTATTGTGCCAGATACTAATATATGGGGTGCACTGCTTGGAGCATGCCGAATACATGGGAACATAGAATTGGGGCACTGGGCAGCCCAGCATTTGTTTAAATTAAAGCCTCAGCACTGTGGATACTATATACTCCTTTCAAATATGTATGCAGAAGCTGAAAGATGGGATGAGGCAAACAAAGTCAGGGAATTGATGAGATCAAGGGGAGCTAAGAAAAATCCTGGTTGCAGTTGGGTTCAAATTGGAGATCAGGTGCATGCATTTCTTGTTGGTGAGAAAATACACAGCTTGGATAGTGGCTTTTGGCTATTAGAAAGTTGTTAAATTTGTTTTGTAAGAAAAGTCTAAAAGTTGTCTTTGGATTGAAAATTTTAAAAATTATAAAAGTAATAATGAAAAATGTCTAAGGTAAGAGTTGAAGTACGAGAAGAGTTATGAATGATAAATATAAAAAGTTAAGTATAATAAAGAGATTTTTATAAAAATGACTTATTTGAAAAAAAATTTATTTATCATAAAAATTATTTAGTTAGAATTTTACCGTATTTTTAAATTATTTTTTATTATCTAAATACATAAATTATAGTAATTTTGAAATACTTTATCAAAATACAACATGACCATAATTTTCATAAAGCAAATTGTTCTGAGCTTAGTGGAGTATTTATTTATCCATTATATTATCCAGTTAAGGGCATTTCTGGTTGCATAAGCAAACCAGATTTTGTTTTTAAATTTGTATATAGTACATTTATCAATTTAACAATGTGGTGAAACTTTTTAAGTAATGAAAGTTTCTCTGGCACGAATTTTAGGTTTCATTTCTTTTAACTTCATGATTATATCTAATAAAATAAATAAAATAATATTACATAAAGTTAAGTATATTAATTTTAACTAAATCAATATTACACGTATTAATAAATAAATATAAACAATTAACATAAACAAAAAAATATAACACTTACATAAATAAAATTATTTTTTATTCAAGATATAATAATTTTATTTAACTAATTAAATACAATTTGCTTAGCTACTTGTCAAAATATTTTTATAAACTCAACTGTCACGGAAAAATAAATAATTATACTTATTTATTTATCACAAAATAAATTGTAATAAATTGTATCGTGTGATCCTTACATTTGACCTCATCTAGTGTGAAAAAATTCAATTAAATCATGTTAGATTCATTCTAATTCAAACATTACGTAATTAACAACAGTTTGTATAATCTATTAATTACTTCAACTAACTTACAGTTTATATTTCTACTAATTATATCATTGTAAAATGTTTAAATAGCCTTAAAAGCTTAACAAATTTTAAACAAAACATTACTAATCTTAACAGAATTTACGCTTTTTGTTTAAAAAAATGAAAAAAAAAAATTAAGTACTTAAAAACTAACAAATACATCTTGTAACAATGGATCGATCTAACAGTAAAAAAGTAATAGTCATTATGTCAAGTAAAATCACAATAATATTAATTTTATGTCCTTTCTTTCAACCTTTTACATGCTTTTGAAATAAATATAAAAAATAATTTAAATAAACATACTGTAAACATAAAATACATTTTATAAGTAAAACTATAACATAATATAAAATAATTAACAAATTAAATAAAATAAAGCTAAGGGACAATAGCTTAAAAAATTGGAGGTGAGGCTTGATAACTAGCACAGGTTGGTGTAGAAAAAGAGAAAAATGAAAGTTAAAAATGGGGAAGGAAATGAGCAAGGTCCTCACAAGTGAGTTTTAAATGCCCTCCACAAGCGCCAATCACCACATGTTGCAACCCAGCTATGACGCCACCTTACCATGCTCAACAGGCTACGCACGCCTAATCTACCACGTGTTGCGACTTGCATCTGTACTGTCTCCATTCAAGGTGTTTCATATACCACAATATTGTATCTTTGCTCCACATAATAATCTTGCCATCAAATTAAATTAACTTTTATTAATCTGATAAATACTTTTGAAAAATGCATTATTTTGGTCAATTAGTAATTGAGTCTAAACTATAAATATAATATATCACATGGGAAAAAATAAATACTAAAAACGTGCTATAATTTGTCAAAATTTAAAATTATACAATGGACTCAGGCTAGAACTAAAGAACCACCTGACAATTTCATGTGAATGTGACACAGATTTTGGTTAGATGTTGAAGTTTAAAACGTAATAACTCCAACTCACACTCACTCTCAACTTGACAAGTTTACGAGGAACTAAAATTCATACTTGTATTCATATCTTTTAATGGGTGTACAAAAGGGACTAAAATTCTAACAACCTGCGCTAACATATGACAGTTATAATAGTTTTTGACAATTAATTTCTAATTTTTTTCCTAATTAGTCCCTGAATATTTAATCTGTTACAATTGTCCCCCCCTTCAAAATAGGACTTGTCCGCAAGTCCTATGACTAATAATGCCAATTGAACTCTGGAAATTGCCGCTTCATGCTAAATAATTCTCTCCATTCAGCATCCTCTGGAGTCGTGTCCTTCCATTGTATTAAGACCTCCGTAACCGCTTTATGCCCTTTCTTTTTCATTCTTCTGTCCAAGACTGCCAACGGTTGTGCCTGATACTCGCCATTTGCATTGAATACTGGCAGCTGAGGTGAAACCAAATGTTGTCCATGGTGTTTCTTTAATAAAGACACATGGAAAACATCATGAATCTTTGTTCCTTGTGGTAGTTCCAATTTGTAAGCTACTTTCCCAATTCTTTCTAGAATCTGAAATGGGCCATAGTAACGTGCATCAAGTTTGTGGAAAGGAGTGTTGGCCAATGTGTGTTGTCGAAAGGGTTGGATCTTTAAGTATACCAAATCTCCCTTCTGGAATTCCTTGTCAATTCGTTTCTGATCTGCAAATTTCTTCATTCTGTCCTGTGCCTTCCATAAATTGATGTGCAGCAACTGTCTGATCTGTTCTCTTGTTTTTATCGTATAATTCACAGCTTCCACCATGGAGTCATCCTTGATCACCACATTTGGACTAGTAGGAGGATAATCGTATAAAGCTTCAAATGGTGTCATCCTAGTTGCTGAATGGAACTTGGTATTATACCAAAGTTCAGCCAAGGACAAGAAGGTCACCCATTTCTGAGGCATGTCTCCTGTCACACACCTTAAATATGCTTCCAAAGATTTATTCAAAGCCTCAGTTTGTCCATCTGTTTGGGGATGGAAAGCTGTTGATTTTAAAAGCTTCACTCCATGTAATTTCATGAGCTCATTCCAGAATTTACTCATAAATATAGTATCCCGATCAGAAATTATCTCATTTGGCCATCCATGTAATTTCACCACATTATCCATAAAGATCTCAGCTACCTTGGCAGCTCCAAATGGATGAGATAGGGACATGAAATGAGCATATTTGGTTAATCTATCAATGACCACAAGGATGACAGTCATACCATTGGATTTTGGTAGGCCAACGATGAAATCCATTGAGATGGACTTCCATGCTTGATCAGGTATAGGGAGTGGTTGTAGTAGACCTGCTGGCAGCTGCTGCATGGGTTTGTTTTGTTGGCAAGTCATGCATTGTTGAACCCACATCTTGACCTCTTTCTGTAACCCTTTCCAATGGAATTGTTCTTTAATTCTTCTGTAAGTAATTTCACTTCCTGAATGACCTCCGACTGGTGAATTGTGAAAATGTTGCAGAATTTTCTTCTGTAACTCAGGTGCATTGCCAACTACCAATTTTCCTTTCCGTCTGAAGAAGTCTCCATCATATGTGTAATGTTTGTAAGGTTGTTGAGTTAATATAATTCTGTCAATAATCTTCTGTATCTTATGGTCTGCCTGCCATGACTCTTTCACCTCTTGCAGCAATTGAGATTGTATGACCAGAATTGCTGCTAAACAGGCTTCACTTCTATTCCTTGACAAGACATCAGCTACAATATTTTCTTTGCCTTTTTTATATTCAATGCTGAAGTCTAAGCCCATAAGTTTTTCCAATCCCCAATTCTGCATCAAAGTTGTCGGTGGCTGTTCCAACAGGTGTTTGAGAGCTTTCTGGTCAGTTTTGATGATGAAATGTTGGTCTAAAAAATAATGCTGCCATTTCTTTACTGCAAACAGAATGGCATAGAACTCCTTTTCGTAGGCTGACAAGTTGTGATATTTTGGTCCCATGGCTTTACTTATATAAGCTATAGGGTGTCCTTTTTGTAACAAGACTGCCCCTATACCTATATCGGAGGCATCAGTCTCTAATGTGAAAGGTTGACTGAAATCGGGTAAGGATAACACAGGTGCTGTAGTTAAGGCTTGTTTGAGCTTGTTGAATGATTCCTCAGCTTCCTCATTCCATTTGAACTTAGTGTCTTTTTGTAGAAAGTTTGTTAATGGTGCAGCTATTTTTCCATAATTATAGATAAATCTTCTATAGTAGCCGGACAGGCCAAGAAACCCTCGTAATTCCTTTAAAGATGTAGGTCTGGTCCATTGCTGTACAGCCGTAATTTTCTGAAGATCAGGTTCCACTCCTTTGGAGGAAATAAGATGGCCTAAATAATCAATCTTCCTTTTTCCAAAACTGCATTTTTTAAAATTCAATGCTAGGCAATTGTGCTGTAAAATCTCCAACGTGATCTCTAAACATTGTATATGGTCCTCCCAAGTCTTTGTGTAAACTAGAATGTCATCAAAGAAAACTAGGATGAATTTTCTCAAGTATTCTCTGAATATGTCATTCATCAAGTTCTGAAAAGTAGTTGGAGCATTGCTTAAGCCAAAAGGTAACACCACCCACTCATAGTGTCCACTATGAGTTCTAAATGCTGTTTTAGAAATGTCCTCCTCAGCCATTCTGACTTGATTATATCCACTCCTCAAGTCAAGTTTGGTGAAATAGCTTGCACCATGTAGCTCATCCAAGAGATCCTCTATTAAAGGCATAGGAAACTTGTTTTTGACAGTGATGGCATTTAGCTTTCTAAAGTCTGTACAGCACCTCCAAGAGCCATCCTTCTTCTTCACTAAAACCAAAGGAGATGCATAGTTGCTTGCACTGTCACTAATGAATCCTGTGGAGAGTAATCCCTTAACTTGTCTCTCGATCTCCTTCTTTTGATTGTGTGGGTACCTGTAAGGCTTCAAACAAACAGGTGAATTACTCGTTAGGATTATTTTGTGGTCATATCGTCTCTTAGGAGGAAGCTCAGTTGGCTCCTTGAAAAGGTGGTGATACTGTTCCATTAGTTTTTGAAGTTCCTCATTCTGACTTTGAGATAATAGTGCTTCATTCTCAGGTGTAGGTAGATTAAAGAATGCAGACCCTTGTATAGCCAGTAACATTGTCTGGCCCTGGATTGTTTTCAATGTCCCTGAAGTTGTAGAAATTGCTACTTGTTGTGGTTCACCATTTAAACATACTAGTTGTCCTTGATGCTTGAATTTCATTGTCAATTGAGCACAGTTCCAACAAATTTCACCCAATGTCTGAAACCATTGCATGCCCAATATAATTCCAAAACTGCTACTAGGTAATACCAGGAAATCTGCTGCAAAGTGGTGATCATTGAACCTCCATGAAACCTGAGAACAGCGCTTAGTGATGACTAGTTGCTTATCTGAAGCCACCATCACCGGAAAGTCCCTTACGAAACTGGTTTTGAGGCCTAATTTCTTCACCCATCTGTCACTAATGAAGTTGTGAGTGCTCCCTGTATCCATCAAGAATGGCACTTCCTGCTTCTTTATAATTCCCTTTAATTGTAGTGTATTTCCCCCAGCAATTCCTTGTAATGCATTTAAGGAAATATGCACATTGGTATTATCTGCTAACTCCAGGCAATGCTCAATTATTTCAGTGTCTACATCTTGATCAGCAGCATCATCATTATCAATATCAATTTGTTCTTGCGCAGCAAAAATGGCATTCAACCGACCCCAGACTTTACACCTTTGTTTATGATTCCTATCCCATTTATCACCACAAAAACAACATAGACCCTGAGCAATTCTTTCACTAACCTCTTTTCTGGAAATTGGTGTTGTATTGGCTGCCTTGGATTCCACGGTATGTGCTGAATTGGAGGAAGTCGATGTGTGATTTTGTTGTAAACTAGTAATAGGTTGACTTCTTTGATTTTGATTTGTGTTATACCAAGTTCTTTAGTATCTGGTCTGGAAATAAGCATTGGTGTTCCTTTCCATACCCAGTTTCTTGGTGATATCTAGGAGAATCCCGTCTTGCAAGCGAGCCAACCGGATTGCCTCTTGAATTGTTGCTGGTTTATGGACACGTACAGATTTCTCTAACGTAGGTTTCAATCCCGAAAGAAAGAAGCTAAGTACTATTTCCTTTGAAATAACCACACGTGCCAAGAGGTTATCAAAATTTTCAAGATATTCAATCAATGCACCATCTTGCTTTAATCTTACTAATTCTGCCACCGGATCATCAAAGGTACCATCGTCGAATCTGTTTCCAGCATCTTGTAAAATCTGTCGCCATGGTTTTGTGCTGAAATTTGGGTCTTGAATGTAATGTCTTTGCTAGGAAAATGCTTTGCCATCCATTGAAAGTAACAATAGACGCCCTCTTTGATCTTCAGGCGTGCCTTCAAGTTCAAAGAATTGTTCGGCCTTGGCTTGCCATTCTCTGAAATTATTGCCATTAAACGAAGGAAACTGGAGCTGAGCTCTATCAAGAATAGATGTAGAAGATTCTGGAGTTTCACTATAAGTATCATTTTCGGATGTCTGTTTCTTGCCGTAATGGAGCGCTGCCACTGATGATATTAATCCTTCCGTTGATTTCTGCAATGCTTCAAGACTCCGCTGTGTTGTATCTTGCGAATCTGTCATTGTTTTCTCCATCGAGTCGATGCGCGTTTCAAGTTCTTTCACTGTCACCATCGTTTCCAGACTAGCTGATACCAATTGTTGAAGTTTAAAACGTAATAACTCCAACTCACACTCACTCTCAACTTGACAAGTTTATGAGGAACTAAAATTCATACTTGTATTCATATCTTTTAATAGGTGTACAAAAGGGACTTATATAAGATTGTAATCAACCACCTATTTCCTCCTATTCTAACAACCTGCGCTAACATATGACAGTTATAATGATTTTTGACAATTAATTTCTAATTTTTTTTCTAATTAGTCCCTGAATATTTAATCTGTTACATTAGAATGTTGATTAGAGACTTCAAGTTATGAAAGATTTACATGATTTTTGAAGTGAAAAACTTATGGGGGACTGAAGTAGAAAGAAAAAATTATGTGAAACCCGAGATAACATCGACTTTCAACGTGTATGGTTTTGCTTTAGCTACCTTTTTTTTCTTTTTGGTCAACATGCTTTTTCTACCTTGAACACACAATATTTCATCGTTACACGGAGCAATTTTGAAGTTATATGTTTATCTTTAATTTTAATTTTTTTGGTGAGAAAGAAGTATATCTGCTCAATTAAACCATTATATAACGCGTATCAAGACATGCAATATTATTATTGCTTATACAACTTAACATTTTAGAAATGAGAGAAAAGTCGTTTCAAATCATGGAATAAAATGAAGGGATGCCATAATAATTAACAAGGGTCTTCTCATTTTCAAATTAGAATTATCTCCTAAAATAAAGTTAAGGCTGATTGCTTCCTATTCTGCTCATTCACATATCTTGTCATATCAAGCTAGAGGAAAGGTCTACGAAATTTCACCAAATTTTAAGGTCTATCGGAGTATTTACCCTAAATCATGATAGGTCTATCGAGGCAATGCATTCAAATTGATAAATTGGAAAGGAAAATGCTTGGACTAAAATTTATAGAGAAAAGAAAATACAATGTTTTTCAGGATTGAAAAAGTAAAGGGCAAAAATTGTAAATTGTAATACATATTAAAAATTCTCAATACCTATAAGTACTTAGTACGACATACAAAGGTGGTAAGAAGACCATTATTATGTCTAGATATCACACAATTTAAACAATTTTCATAAGATAATTACCAAGTATTTAACATTATAAACAGTAGACCTAAATAACATTTTGCCGTAAAAAGCCATCAATTCATACAGTTGAAAGTTAGAAAAAAATTTATTCCCCTACAAACTAGTGGATAGATTATAAACATTCCTACATACATGTGCAGCTACTAAGGCGTAAACTAACACCCATAAATACTATCCTTTATACACAGTCAGTCTTCATTGTGCTCTAAAATGAACCGCAGAATGGTGCAGAGTGCAGACAGATACCAAGAAAGCAGCACTACAACTTACTCATCTTCTAAACAATTGAAGAGGAAACAATCTGTACCTTTGTGGAAAGGCCTTCTCCTCACCTAACATTACAACCTGTTCCAAACAAGGTTTAGGCATTAACAACCAACATAAATATAAGGACACATATAAATTGAAATGTATCTTATAAACTTTTAGAAGGGAAACGTGTAATCCAGGCATATCAAAGACCAATGCAAGCACAATAATCAGAACCACAAGGGAGGCGGACAAAACATGCAAACCCAATCACCTTTCTCTCTCTCTTTTTTCTTTCATTTTATGCAAAATGCAGATAAAGATAAAGTAAGGAGATAAACCAAGAATTTCAAAGCCAAAATTGAAGTGAAAGGTATTGTTAAAGCAAGAGTGAGAAATTATAATAATGAACTTGTGTGATCCCAAACCGCTGCTAAATATCTTCAATTCCTACTATTAACCCTTTCAAGAAAAAGAATATGTATGGTACTTGCCAAATACGGACAACTGATAGAACACTAATTTGTCACTTAAAATGCGGAATATTACCCTACTATGTTAGCCAATCAAGGGATTTATGTTTTATGATAGTTAATTTTCTTATGCTTGTTGCATAAAATAGTGACAAGCAGTCAAAACTATGTTGGGAAGCAAAAATCAGAGGAACAGGGGCAAAAATTAGTCAGTTGTGCCAAACAATGGACATAGCATGCCCCGTGCTTGTAAAAATCCCAATCTCTGTTCAGGGCATGTTAGAAGAGTACGTCCCATGCTTAAATCAGGAGACCATCAGTGAGCACAGCCAAGTTCAATGAAATATAAATTCAACTTTAGGGTCTTGAAGAAGGGACTTTTGGGGATTCAAGAGCTGTCTAAAGGACTTTCGGAACAATCTCTCTTCTCTTTTGTCTTCCCTGGTGATTGAATGTGAGTTGTGAGATCAAGAGCTTCCTTGTCTCCATCACGAACATCATCCCTCTTCTCTTCCTTCTGTGACATCTCTACAGATCTTCAAAGGACATCACTTCTCACCATAGAGTAGTTATCCTCATAGAGCAGATTGGCCATAGGGGTTCTTCCTACCCCTTTTGTTAGGATTATAGATAATTACTTCGTAGTTCATTTTGCATTATGTGTTTTAATCATGTGTAACTAAGCATTTCTCGCCATGGGACTGAGGTGGATACTTCAAATGTAACTATTGTTTACCTCAATTTAAATTTATGAAGTTGATGAGTTAATTGACATAATTATTCCTTTGTGTTTTATATAATTCTTGATAAGGTCAATGTCAATGAAGGACTAATCCTAGTTAATCAATTGACATGCGATTGCACTTTCAATAGGTTAACAGATCTAAGGAATAAATAGGAATTACAGATAGGAAGATCGATCTTTTTCTCTAAATCTTTCAATCAATTAATTGGATTTAACAAAATCTAATGAGTCTTATGCTCTTATTTGTGTGTTAATTTCTATGATCATTAGCATAACATTCAGATAAAAAGACTCACTATTCTATGATCATTAGATAGTGATTAATATAGATTAGATGATTGATGATCAAGATACAATGGATTAAAGTTGAATTGGGGTATAATTAGGGAATCACAAGGGGAAATTGAAGCCCCATGCAATTATTCATATATATTCTAAATTGTGGTGTCTGCTTTTCTTATTTATTTGTGAAAATCATTATCAATAACATCATCATAAAGCCTCTTGGTAATTGATTCGCTTAACATTTTTGAACCTTGGTACAGGGTGATTGTGAATATAATCCTTGAGAAAACAACACTGGAAGAATCAAAAACTTTTTTGTACAACTGACAGGTAGTAAGGTACCCTTGCCCATGAGTTTGAGGCTTTTTAAACAATATTAAAACAGCAACAACCATCCTCCTAATCATGGTTTTGATAAACTTCAACTCATTAAATTCTGCAGTAGTTATTTATTATATCTTGTATGCCTATGCTTAGAAAATCTCAAAGATAATACAAATGCATACATCCAAGAATCCAAAAATTCAGACAAAGAAGTTTAAATTATTATAGAATATAGAGTAGACAAACTTATGAAGAGAAATGACATACAATAGTTGGGAAAGTAGCTAAATAACTCCTTCGGTTTTGCTAAAAGAAAAATTTATTACAATTAGATATAATCATCATTATATTTCAAATTAGTATCAATAATAAATAGCATTTGAATCACTGACCATGTAGTTAAACTAATACTCACAATCTTATAAAACATAATGCTCAAAGAAATAGTCATCAACTTACCTATTCAGTGAACATGCTTGAATGATTACTGAGATGGATATCTTTGTAAGATTGGGTAGCTCACTTTTGGAATATTGATAAAATTTGGTTCCTCCTTCAGTGAGTTGCCACTGCTATTTCCATCTAGTTTCATTTGACTTAAATCACTTACAGATGATTCAGTTCCATTTTCCACAAACCTACTTGGAATACAAGTGCTTTTGCCAATAAATCCAATACTCCTAAGAGATACTTGATCAAGTGAATCACCTGATTTAAAACCATAGGGATCTTGTCTATCAGACGTGGGCAAAAGGCCAGGCAAAGGTCTTGTGGAACCAAATGTCAAAATTGAGTTTTGAAGGTGCTGAATATTGCTATTATTGCTGGAGCCCATGGAACAAATGGAGGGTGCAGTATACCCACAGAGAACACCTTGTGGTTTGGTGTCCCCACCAGGAAATTTAGATGCACTCAATGGATTATTTGATTTTTGTGACAATACACTATAATCAATAATGGCATTCCTGCCAAAACTGCAGTCGTGGTTGACAGAAGCAAGATTTACTGCCTGGAAAGTTTCTGAAGATTGAGAGGGTACCACCAAGCAAGATGGTTGAACATTGATTGAATGACTTTGATCAGGTACCAGTGACTGCTGCTGCACTTGTTGCTGTTGTTTTTGCTGGTGCTGCTGCATTTGTTGCTGCTGTAATATATCCATCAGCACATTGTTCTGAACAGCCACCCTTTCAATGTTACTATTGGGTCCCACCAAACCAACTGTATTATTAGATGACGGCCATGCACTATATCCTGATGATGTATCATTTACAGTTACGATAGATGGAGGAAAATTCTTGCCAATGTTGGAAGGACACTTCACAAGAGGCTGACCATATGCCACAGCATGTTCAACATGGGAATGTTTTGGCCCCTGAATGGATGCTTGCAGTAGGGCAGTCTGGTCCACTGTAGTAATTATGTTAGTTGCTGGGCGACCTAAGAGCTCAGCATGAAGGGCTGCAAGTGTTTCAGGGGGAACATGACCAGCAGCAGCCAAAGCTTGTATGTCCAATCTTCCAGGAGCACCCAGCTTGGACTCTATAGTTCCAGGAACTGTGTTTAGCATCCCATTCTGTTGCTGTGCCACTCCACTTAATCGCTTCAAATAAAGTCTAAATTTCTGCCAATTAATATTGCAATCCACAATAGCAATGTTAATTAGACTCAAGCTACACAATATAAGTTCATGTATATACAATATATATTACCTTACTTTGTAAGAAATATGATATATTTGCAAATTGATGAACACATAAAATTCCTCACCCATTTATCAAAATATTTTCTAATTAGTTAAGGGTGACTGTGATCTTAAACTCTTAGGCTCTGTTTGGGAATTATGTTTTGGAGGGAAAGGAAGAAAAAAGGAAGGCTTATTTGATGATAACCCTCTGTATTTATAAACCCTCTTCTTAAACCCATGTTTTTAAGTTCCCCCAAATTTGGGGGATTTTTAATTAACCCTTCCCCCTCCCTTCTCCTCTCCTTCCTTACCCTTCAAACTCTTCCTTCTCTCTCCCTCCAAACTCTCAAGCAAAGCCTTAATAATTCTAAGTTCTGAAACCAGTAAACTTTCGTAGAATGACATTTATCATTGAATAATTGTTGGTATTCATTTCTACATATATTTGACCTTCAAATCTTATCAACTAATTACATGTTTATTTAAAAGGAAAAAGAATACATAACTGAAAATTTCTTTCTATAACTTCTGCCCAATCTCATTCTTGGTCTCCCTCATCTTTCTCATTTATCATTCATCAATACTGTCATTCTTATATTCCAGGGTTTTTCCACCCACATATATTTATAGAGCATGTTAATTTATATAGAAAATCTTCAAGTAAAATCAGTCATTTTAATTTATTGTCTTTGTGCTAATTAACTGGCATCAATATTTTCTCATCTCAACACGAATCATATTTCAATATTGTTGCTTCTTCCTTACCTAACAGTTTCATATCTATGACAGTAAAACAAAGATGGACAGTACTGTGGAACTTCCTCAGCATCAACTTTAGTTAAGTTGTCTAAAGAAAAAAGAAAGAGAAAAAAAAATTGAAAATCAACCCTAAAACCTAATTTATGAGATGCAACCATATCGACTTCCCTAAAACCTAATTTATGAGATGCAACCATATCGACTTCCCTTCCCAAAATTGGAATAACAAAAAAATCCATTAAAAGGTTTTTTATGTTCATCAATTCTTGTAGGTATTACTTTTCTAATAAAAAAAACAACCAAGACTTATCCCACTAAGTGAGGTTGGCTGGATCACACAACGCCATTGAACTCGGTCAAAAACCAAATTTTTAGCGATATGATTAATCAAAAGGTCTCTTTTAAGAACTTTGGAGATATTAATTTTCTAATAACAAAATTTGAGTTTGTGGATCCTTCTTTGCCTTGTAGAAGTTAATGGTAGCTACTAACTCATCAATGCTGAGAAAGACTAATCATGCAAATATGAACTGTACTTCAAGTTTACAGGAGATACTAGAATGGTAATTTCTGCCCAGACAGCACAACAATTGGAACAAAAATAAGACAACATGTGCAAGTGACCTCAATATAGGAGAAAATAATATGCTAGCATATGTAAACAAATGAAATATAACACATAAAATAAAATAAAAAATAAAAAAAACATAAAAATGGTGCAACTGATAAGATCAGCGGCAGACCCAACAATTGTAAACTACAAAATGCATATGATTCTGAGGAAAATGGTAAGGAATCATTTGACATTTTGAACTGAAAACAAACCTGTAAATGACTTGCAACATTTTCTCTTGTCAAACCCGGGACATTCATCAATTCTAGTATTCTCTTCGGCACTGCCTCTGAAATACAAGGATAAGAAACAACTGATCAGCTAAGTTGCAATCAAATGCTTAAATACTCAAAAGGAAACGATTATACTTGTAAGGTTATCCTATATTTTATTGTAATACACTGAAGTCTAGTCACTGAAAGAAAAAACAAAAGCAATACAAAGAAAGTTATAGTTGGAGATTCATACTGTCAAGCCCAAGTTGATTAACAGCACTAACAAATTGTTGATGTAACTCCACTGACCACACTACACGGGGCTTCTTAGATGTAGCAGGATCATCAGTCTCCAATTCAAGATCATCTTCTTCTTTTAAACTGCTTCTCTTTTTTGGTATTTTAACTACTTCTGCTGCATCAGCAACAGAAGAAGTATATTCAGCATCATCATTCCCCCGTTTATTCCTATCATTATCTTCCACACTGCCTGAATTATCATGTTCTTTGTTTTCATTCCACATTTTCCTAACAACATGCTGCCATATATTCCTTAATTCTTCCTCACGTACAGGCTTAATCAAATAATCACAAGCCCCGTGTCTGATTCCCTTCATAACAGCACTTGTTGTACTATCAGCAGACATCACTACAACATGTGGAACATAACCAATTTTCAATGATAAGCATCATAAACACTTGTAATTCCAGGGACAAGAGAAACAGCACTTACTAATAACAGGAAGGTCCATTTCCAGCCCAACATGTTCAAGGAGTTTATAGCCATCCATGTCAGGCATATGAACATCACTCAGTACCACATCAAAACAACCTTTCCTTTCCCGCAGAAGATTCAAAGCAACAGTAGCCTCAGTGCATGCAGTAACTGGAAGATTAAAAGAATAATAAGAATTAAGAAGAAACAATATTATTCAAATTAAGAGGACTTGCAAATCAGCAAGCATTCATGTCATACGTTTACTACGTCTGCAATATCTATCGAAATCAATTTCAAATTTCCACACCATATGTTGTAGAAATTTCAGGTCATAGTGAATAGCCTGCAAGCGTAAGTATTCTCCACTAGAGTCAAGTGAAACCCTTTTAATTACACACAGACAAACACATTCAATAACAACAATAAACAAGCTAAAAATCAGCTATCTGACTGCTTGTTTACAATTATTTTCACTGCACACTGGCAATAGGAGAAAGGGGGAAAAACCTCCTTAGTTCAAACAGTATCAGGACTCAAAAAAAGGCACACAGTTGGAAAACTATTAAGCAAACACACTACGTAACGAGTCAAACCTTAAAGGAAAGACATAAGAACGGAAAGAATAAAAAGACACAAATCCTTTGGTCATAACAACTGTAAATGCAAAAGCATCGTCCAAATCTTCCTAAGATTCCCTACGTTCTATAGGTCCAATCAATTAAACGATTTAGAAACAAAAAGCACAACAGAATAATTAAATGGCTAACTCAACAAACAATCAAACACACACAAAAACTTGCATTGTACTAGTCAAAGTCAAACTAAGCAAATCCCAAAAACCTAATGCATGATCATTCTTGACCCTAATATAAAAAAATAAAAATACAAAGGTACATTAACGGAGAAGAAAAAGGAAGAAAAATTTGTGTATATTTTCACTGTGACAATATAATACAAGGTACACCTAATAATAGCTTAAAATAAAATATAAAAAAGAAAGTACAATAAAGTACACCACATCAAATCTTCCTAAATGCAATCAATAATTATGGTAATTCTGTATTCAGTCAAGCTATAACTACAGTAACAATCCTAACAAAGCTAATTATAGCCATCAAGGTTAATCACGATAACAATGCTAATTACCGTGACTAAAATAGCCATGGCTTAAGCTGCATATATATAAAGGGACGAATATATATATATATTCGTCCCTTTACGAAGGTGTTTGGGAAACAGCTTATTTTCCAAAAATAATCCGTTATTTTTAAAATGTTCTCACACTAAGCTCAGACACGCGCTAAGCGGTTGTCATATCCATACGAGTTAAAGATAAAAGAAACCGATATTAGTTTTCTTCTTACGAAAACAACGAATTTGTTTGAAAATTGAAGGCAAGTGAAACGCGAACACATAAGAAACTAACCGAGATAACGGCAGCGAATAGACATTTGCTCGATAATCTTCAAAGTGGCAGCGTCATCGTCGACGAGGAGAACGCGGAGACCCACCGGAAATTCAGCGGTGCAAGCGTCGCCGCTCGAATGCGACGGCGCAGCCATGGCTGCTGCTGAAAGCAACGACGTCGTTTCAGGAGAGGGAAAATTCAGAGGCAGAGAAGCTTAACAGCAAATATAGAATGTGAGAGAGTGAGCATAGTTGAAGAATCGAAGGACACGTCAGCACAGAACAGAGGAAAACGCAACCCTAGAGTGTGAGAGAAAAAGGAAAGTGAATTTGAGGGTTTTGGAGTTCACAAGTGAGTGGGATCGAAGAAAAGAGTCTAAGGATTTGGGTAATTGAGAAGGGAAAGGTGCTGATGAGATGAATAATTTTGGTGTGTGAGTAGCGAGTGATAATAATGGTCATGCTGGGAAAGAGAACGCCAATCCAAGACAAATATTACATTAAATAAATCACTAAATGCGATTTTATTTATTAATACTAAATCCATTACCATGACGTCACTATATTTACTTTAGGAAGTTAATTAAAACTTAAAAAATAAATAATTATATTTACTTTTTATTTTAAATTAATTTAATTATTTAAAATTTTTGCATTGATATTAATAAATATAAATATTTAGTCAGTGCAATTTTTACTAAATTATTTAATATTTTATTTTTTATTTTTAAATTGACTAACAATATAAAATATTATTATATTCATTATTTATTTACAATGTGATTACATTAAAAATTAATATTTTTGGTTTTATAATATAAAGGTTTTTATTAACACAGTTATGTTAAAAAAAAAGATTTTAGTCACTTATAATGATATTTTACAACTTGATTATTTTTTATAAAAAATTATAATTTGGATAAAAATAGATTTAATTATATTTTTTGAAATTTATTTTTAAGAAATATTTATTATAATTTATTCCTTAATATGTTAAAAATATTAGGATTTAATTTTATCATTAATAGTTTTTTTCTGTAAAGTACTGAAAAAGTTCAATTCATTACTTTCGCTTAAAATTTTTTTTTTTATTATTTTATTATTTAAATATTTAAATTTGCAAAAAAGAGTTGGTTGAATTTAGTAGTTTTGGCTGCTTCGTTCTTTCTCTTTCCCTTTCTCTTTTTGCACTCAACGTTGGGATGACCCTCATCTTCTTTCTTGGCGACGTCACCATCCTCTACTGTTTCCACCCACCTTCTTTCTTCCTTACTTTCTTCAAACTCTCCTACTTCAGCATCACCTCTTCCTCCACCTTGACCTGCAACTTCAACCTCACAAACTCGAAGGCCATTGTGGGGAGAGAAGATTAAAGAAGTAGAGAGAAAGTGCCAAAAGTAATTGTGAGTTCCACTATATTGTTTTCTTTCTCCATTGAAGGAGAGATTTTTAGTAGAAAGGGATCTAAGATTCTTTAAGTACCCAATTTAATTCTTACGGAATATAGTTTTTATTAAAAAAAATATTTTAATTTTATTTTTTATTTTACATAAGTTTGATAGTATTAAGTGATAGTCATTTTACAAAACACGTGAGTTGCACAAGTAATCTTGGTTGTAGAAGGTGTAGGGAATTAAAACGAAGAGTTTGTGTCAAACTCTAAATTAATATAGAAGGAAAGGAGCATTTTGCAGTGATTGATTTGGCATGTAAGTATTGTAGGGTGCTATGGAATATCATGGAAGATGTAGTGGAACACAATGAGCAGCCTCAATAAGTAGTTCCCACAAAAGAGGAAACAAACTTGAAACAGAGCTTTAGTGGTTTGTGCATCCATGGCTCATTCATCGAGTACAAGAAGGACCTCTGTTCTCAGGGAGTGTGGATGCTGTTGTGGGGATCTGGAGGTTCAACAAGACGAGGGACTTTTTTTAATTATTTATTAATTTTTAAAAATAATATAAATTTTATTTAGAATTTTTTAAATATTAATTTTTAAATAACAAGAAGAAGAATGAAGTGATAGTGATAAATTGAACTTTTTTTTTATCTAATTCATCACTTTACTTGTAATAAGGAAATTTTAATATTTTTAAAATATTAAAATTAAATTTTAATAATTTTTTTAAGAACTAATTCTAAAAATATATTATTTTTATATAGACAAAATATAATTATGCAAAAAAATATTATATTAAAATATTAATATAACACTTCATATGAAAAGTTTTTATTTTACTAAAATGATACTAAATTTAAAATATAGAAAGTAAACAAAATATTATTATCAATAAATGATTGATTTCTAGTAATTAAAAGTGTTATATAAAAAAATTATTATATTAAAGTGTAATGATTTTTTCAATAAAAATTATTAATTTTAGGAAAAAAATTATTTTTTTCTTTGTATGTTTAATTGTATGTAATTTAGACTTTAACTTTTGAAAGTATGTAAAAAAAATTCTTTTATTATTTTGTTATTTAAACATTTAATTTCTTTGTTTCTTGTAAAAAAAAAAAAAAGCTCTTAAATTGCTAAATCTCTTTTTTTTAATGAAAAATATTTTTTTTAATATTTTTGTTTCAAACACTCTAGATTTAACGTCTGAATAATGAAAAAAAAAAAATTCACATTCTTTCAAAAGTATAGAGTGTTGCATTACACATTTTCAAAATTTAAGATTTAAATTATATATAACTAAACATACATGAGGTTTTTCTTAATTTTATGTACTTAAATCAACCCTAACTTTTATATTTAACTTACTGTTTGGAGAGCAATTATACCCATCGAGAAGTAATAAAGAGTTTTTAAATTAAATTCTCGAAATATCATTCCATAAGGATTGTTTTCTAATTACTAAGAATTTCCTAATTCAATTGTTTAAGCTTCAAAGATATGAGATTAATTAAAATAAGAATTTATAAAATTAATTATAAACTAAGAGCTAGGAATACAATGCACGTCTTAGTTAAACTTATTGGAGAGGAACTTAGGGCATATGAGTTTTTTCATTCAATCATTTATGTTATTTTTCTGTTTAACTCTAAATATGATTTCCTTGTGATTACCAATCATTCATAAGAATACTATTAATACCCAATGGTCATGCAATATTAATATTCTTTTCTCTAAATTAACATCCCCAATGGTCATGCAAGACATCAATTTGAGAAAGCTTAAGGAACCTATGAACTTGTTAATTTAATAACAATTAGAAGAGAAAGATTGGTTTGGTCCACCTAATCTTTTGTCTCGTTTTACCCTATAGATCTATTAATTAACCGAGGTATGGTCGCCTAATGATATAATTAATTAGGATTAAGAGAGAAGCACAATAGGATAAAATCTAATCACAAAATAGAAATTAAATTTAGATTCAAACGTCAAAACCCCATAAATTCATGAACAATAGTTCTCATAGCCCTAGCTATGGACTTAGTTACTCATGCTAAAGAAAAGAACTAAAACAATCATAAATAAAGCCATAATCAAAAGAAATAGTAAACTAGAGTATGAGATGTGTTCCCGGTCTTCAAGTACGATCGCTTGAAGCTCCAAGTCTCGTCAAACATGTGTCAAGGATCCCGTGCAAGAGAAAAGAGATGAGAAGTGTATCTAAAAGCAAAATACTAGATGTCCAACGGTGTTCTTCCGATGCCTGAGGTCTCCCTCTTTAATAGAGTTTGAAAACCCTAAAGACTCTTCATAATTGGGCTTCCCGCAGATGAGCATGGTCGTGCAAGGTCTTAAGCACGACTGTGCATAGGCTCGCAGCACCCCGTACTTGTTGAAAGGGTCTGGGCGTGTTGACTGCTGCAAAGCTCTAATCTTCCCAAAATGCACCCAAAATCCACTTGCGGCCTCTTTATACCAAACTACATAATTAATATATAAATTAGTGTAAAACTCAAATAAAATAAAGGTCAAATATGAATATATGGCTGTAAAAGAGGGCTTAATTACAAACTTATCAATTCCCCCATACTTATTTGTTTGCTTGTCCTCAAGCAAAGTGCTGGTTAAGAGAATAACATAATAACTTGAAACATAATACCACACAAGGAACCCGAGATGAAGGAGATAAAGAGAGTAACAAGAGTAATATCACTGAGCATAAGCAATCAAAAGGATTCCTAATTAGAATCTTATATTTTCATACTTTTCACTCAAACGTCAAACTAAGGTACTTTACTTTTCCCTCTCACTAAGGGACAAAATAAGATATCACTCAGTTCTCCTAAAGAAAAGTGTACTACTATAGACTTGACTATGAACCGACTCTCCACTAAATAAATTAAATGCAAATAAAAATCATGAGGTCTTTTTCAGGTTATAATGTGGTCAAGGAGTTATAATAATTGAGGTGAGATAAATGAAAGAAAGGGGATATACAAAGAAGTAATCAATTATAAAAATTATAAACATCTCCTAAGTTTACAAATGAAGTTCTTGGAGTAATTTTTATATTTTACATATAATTAAGTTTACAAATGACGGTTCGGCTGCACACGAGGGGTCATGGTGAAAGTAATTTGGAGGGACGTGGCTCTTGGTTTCTCCTTGAAAGGTCACGCCTCCTTGGTTTCCTTGTGCATACAAAAAGTCTCATAATGGGCCATAAATGAGAGAGGCGACAATTAAGGCAAGATAACCATTTGAATTATTTCAAGGAGGGAATAATGGTCTTTCCATATTCCAAACATCTAAGTGGTTGAACCCCTTGGTTTGCTCGTGAAAAGGGCATCATCCTCCTTTGAACCAAGTGCGTGTAAAAACTTCCATAAAGAGTAATAAATGCAAAGTAATTAAAGAAGGGAATAATGCAATTAATGTGGAACACGGTTTCAAGGCTTTAAATGCTCCAGTGGTAACCTCCAAGGTTGATTGGGTTGCCCATTAATGCAGGCCGGCGGTTTTGGGTCGTTCGAGGAGGGAATGGGCATGTGCCTCTTCAATTTCTCGAGGAATTAAATGCAGCTGGGAAGCCATTAAGGCATTAGTGGTGCTTTAAATGGGTAGGGGAAGGTTTCTCGTGTTAGTGCAAAAAGACATGGGTACTTCCTCAATAAATAACCATGGAAATGAATGCTAATTTAAAATAAATTGGTCATTCTTAATTAATGCATGAAGAGTCCACACTTAAGGAGAGGATTAGGGTTCCATTTTTCGGTTGCACCATAAGGAGATAAGTTTCTATTTGTTGCCACATGAAGTGTGGCGGTTATTAGAGGGGGCGACTGCATTTAATTAAGGTAACTGGGAAATTGATAATTGCATTAAGTGCAATTCTTTAAGCTCAGAATCTAGGCCATTAAGGCTGATTTTCTCTCCCTCCCATATGCATTAAATGAAAATTTGGTTGCCCTAATTAAGAGAGAAAGATTTGAATAAAATCATAAGGTGTCTCTTCGAATCCCCTTTCTGTTGCACGTGAAACATGGTGTGATGATGTTCCATT